TATATATATATATATATATAATATGCATGTTTTGACTCAATGTATTGTTTACATTGTGTATATATATATATATATTTGTATTTATCCTTATATTCCTTGTATTTTTCCTAGTGGTCCATTATATGTTAGTGGGGTGGGGTGATTCCATCTCCATTGGGTAGCCCTTCAAGTGCTGATAGATCGCGAGTTTCTTTATTTTTTATTAGCATGGATCGAACATGATCTTCAGATTGCGAGCTTCTCTATTTTTTTATTGGCATGAATTGAACATGATCTTTAGCTGAGTACATACATATGTTGACTTCGAAAAATCTTAGTAGGATGGTTTAGAAAAGATGCAGTGTGCTTAGCTTTTTCGAACTATATTATGTAAATATAGATTTTTAAATGTTATTCAAATATAGATTTTTAAAATACACTCACGCGAACTATGTTAAACTCAAAATCTAATGTTTATTTATATATTACTCAATTTTACAGCTACAATATTAGACTTACGTTTAAGCTTTGCAATAACTTAATTTACAAAAAATTAGAGTGAAGTCTAACGCTTTTTCAAGTATAAAATTTTTAGTTTGATTCAAAAGAGATGTATAATTTAAAAGTTCATAAATTAAAAAAAATAAATCATTTACTAAATAATTAATTTTATTTATTAATCATGTTACTTGTTATTTTCATTTTATTTGATATGATGAATGATGATGCTATAATAACATCATCTTTTTGTATGTTCTTTTACTTCCTTGGACTACTATATACTAAAATTGCGTAACTACTAGGGCATTGACTATGTAGAAGAAAAATAATACATACATTATAGTATTTTTATTATTTGTTTTAGAGATTCTAAGTACTTACTCCAGGAAACAAATTCAATAAAATATTAAAATATTTTGATTCCTTGTTAAAATATGTGGCTGCTAATTTTATTATTAATTAGACATAACAAAACTACTTCTCAAGGTTTGATCAGATGACAACCTAATCCTTAATTAACTTGATTAATTATAGTAATTATGGATCAATTATACAACTAAAAAAAATCTAATCTACTTTATCTAAACTAAGGGTGTGTTCGGTACGAAGAAAAATATTTTTTCTACTAAAAAATTTCTGTCTAGAAAATATACATGATTCGTAGTTATTTTTCTTGTATACGATATATAATTTAAACAAATACTATGAGAGCTAAGAGTGTGGGTGGAAGAATGGATATGAACAGTGGTGTACGCATAATTTTTCATAAACGGTTAATAGGGTTGCGCACCAAAATAGGATTATGTATCGATCGATTCGATTTGATTTTAAAGTTTATCGATTCGATTTATTGGTAATTGGTATGAAGACGAAGTCATGCTTGTTGAATGGTGTGGAGGATAAGATCAACGTGGTTATGAAACTTATTTTTCATATTTTTGTTATGAAAATTAATTTTCTTAATTTTAAAGACTTATTTAGAGAAAAAAATACTCTAATAAATGAAACATGAAAAAATTAAAAAAATATTTTATTTACGAAAAACACCCTATCGTGTTTTCAAACATCTTAAAACCCCACTAATTATAGTCACATGTAGACATAGATAAGATCAATTTGACCCAACAATAGGAATTAGTAAGCTAAACAACTTCATTAGGAAAAGTAGTTAACTTCTCCAAGAGAAATTAATTAAGTAATTAAATGATTGTATTTTAAAATAGAAATTTGCTTTTTCCCCTACAAAATAGGAAAAATGTTTAAATAATTAATTTACTTGACCGACCATTGGGTATATGGGAGTTGAATGACAAATTGACAACTCTTTTCCAGCAATGTAGCAAATTATATATATTGTTACGCGGAATTCGAGATAATACGAAAAAATATAAATGCGAAAAAAATAAGATAATAGATTTACGTGGTTTACCAATAAATTGGTGACGTCCACGGGAAGAGAGGGAGCAGTTTTATTATGGAAAGGCAAGAACAGAATACTGAATAGGGTTTGTCATAGCGTCTATATATAGTGCTAAGCTACGATCTAACAGGCTTGAGCCCAAAATACAGAATTGACAGATAATTAAGAAATATTGGAAATTAAAGAAATATTGGAAAATTATATTAAAATATTAGCAATATTGGAAGGTCAAGAAAAAAAATGCTCTTATTTTAAGAAGAGTATTTCTTTTTATATTTTTTTACAATTTTATCAAAATTGTGGAACCCGTTTTATATACACCCTAATAGTTTTAAATTTTATAATTATCATTATAAACAAATAAATAATAATCTTCAAGTGTATTTATACAATTACATAGAGGGTGCATTACAAAACAAATTATCTAAATATAACATAAACCTTTGAGATTATGAAGAAAGCTATAAAGGTCGGATGGAGTTAGAAGTTTAAATATGAGTTCAATTAAATTAGTATTATATTAAAAATATTTTCTAATCTTAATTAATTAAAAATAATAGTTTAAATTTTAATTTCTTAAAAAAATGAACATTTTTTATAAATATCTATAAACTTTATAAATATTAAATACAATAATAATTAACTATGTCGATAAGACTTAACTAACACATCTTTCTTAATACGCCTATTTGTTAGAGCTAAATATAATATATTTATATTTTAAAAAATATACATCTATAAATATTAAATTTTAAACTCAGTGATTATTAAGCA